AATAAAAGCTGATAGGATCCAAAGGAACCTATTGGGCATTTACCAAATTTGGTGTCCACCATGTTGTGTTGTCTAGTATCTGATGCCATTTGAGATAGTCCCATGTTTGCATAAATTTTAGTCAAATCTTGCTTGAATTGTTCAATTTTTTCTTCATGACATACTGCACTTATCCTTGCTTCATAAAGAAGTGACTTCACTCCTCCATCTTTAGAAGTTCTAGTAGAACTAGTTTCGCATTTAGTTTTATTTACTATCACACTGGAGATGGGCTGTGGTGAAATGTTAGAGCCTCCTCCCTTTCTGTGCCATTTTTGTAGTTCTGAAGTACAAGCTAGACCTTCAGTCTCATCTTTATCTTTACAAAGATCCTTCGTCGACTTACAGTCATACAAAGTATACTTGCAAAGTTTTAGCATTAAAGCTAAGATGTGATTGCAATATCCAACGGTGCCAGCGACACAACTACAAAATGCATGCAACACTTTACCAGATATAATGCATATTGCAAGCTTAAGGTCATGAGGGGCATCACTCTTTTTAAAACTGTGAGAGCATTTGGCTTTAAAATAGAACCCTCGTTGATCACTTGTTGTTATAATTTCGTGAAGATACTCATCTTGAAGAAAAGTCTGTGCTTTCCTCAAGTTGGTTGGAACGCTTGTGCTCTCTTTGTTCGCGATTTTTTTACCAGAATTTACAATGTGCTCGTCCATTTCAGCCTTTGTAAACAGTGGCATTTTCTCTAGAGAAGTACCCCAGTTTTCTTCAGGATATTTTACCGATCGTACTCGAGGCTCGTTGGAACAATTACTAGAAGTAGACTTGGTCAAAGAAAGTTTTCTTCGCGTGTACAGTTGATTTGGATCGGGATCCACGATTTGTTTGTCTTTACCATTCTTGATGAATTCTTCGACTCTGTAAAAAATATTGAACTGTTTTGATTGAACTTACATCAACTACATTGTAGACTGAAGCTAGAACTTGATTTTCAGGAGGCAGGCACACTATTTCACTAATCGAGCTCTTCGTGTATCTTACCTTTTCACAAGTTCTGCTTTTGTTTTAAGTCCTTTCCCAGAGTCTCCTCTACATTTCAACCAAAATTTTAGTTCATCGTTTTTTAATTCTGAAGCATTTCGACCTTTTAGGGAGGCACCAGGAATGTCATATTCGCTTAAGCTGATATTAGTCGTCATTTCTCAGTATTTTCACGATGTAAAGAATATAAAAAGACACATAAAACAGTAATAATTACAGCCACGCTGAAGAGAACGCTGTTGTTTGGCCTTTGATGCCTCACTTCCATGTTTCTCGTCTCCAGTCCTCCAGCGAACAAGCGTACTGTACCGCCATTTTTGAAAGTCGTGTGTGGCTCGCATGATTAGGGAAAAACACGAAGATTGTTTACACGGGAGCACTGGCTGCGCCAAGAGCCTTAACCCTAAGGCAAGTCACACAACACATTATGCTTTCATAAATTAATCGTTTTCTTTTTCTAGAAATGAGACCTTGGGCTGTCCATGCATTTACAAGAAGCATCCTTACGAGTTCCAAGCATGAAATTGATTGAGTCTGAATCAGCTCTCGCAACCTACGACATGCTGGCATTAATTTGTTCTGAGTTTAGCTCTTGGCTTACCCTGGGTGTTAGTGGTAACCCAGCCTAACCCCTGTACAGACTCTGGGGGAGGGAGTGGGGAGCCATCATACTCCAAAAGATGGCCTTGATTTTAAGATTAAAGGTTGAAGTTAACATCAACTTACATCATATAGAACTCATCAAGTCCACCAAACTGTGGATAATTCCCTTGGTCTCAAGTGGTATTTTGATGTTTTCCAACTGGATGAGGTCAAAATTACTGACTCCATCATGAAATTTCCTACGATACTGAGGAGAAGAATTTGTTTGAAAGTCAGGAGTTGATCCCTGAACTGGTGATAATTTCCTTTATTTTCATGACCTTTACATTTGATTCTAGAAATTGATGTTGTGGAGAGAAATTATTCGAAGGCAGTCACTCTTAGAGGCAAATGAGGTTTAGAATTTGTCAGAGCCCAATCATTGTGTGGCATAAATGATTTTTAATAAATTATGTAGTACATCATTCTTGTGCTTCATCGAACAAAGGCATATCATGATAACATGGAACAAACCTCCATGTACATCATCATAGACTGCAATGATGTTTACCCATGAAGATCAAATTAACTCAAAATGAAATATGCTCATTAACTTTTTGTGATTATATGCAAGGTTTTTGTATAAGATTCTTGCTAGCTATTTATACACCCAAACATACTGGTTATGTAAGGAAGGTAAGCATTTGTTAGAACTTATCTGTTTTATTTAAATGTTTTTACAGGTACACAAGCTTCCAGTGGAGGTATGATAACACTTTTTGTTATATTACGAGCTGGGTAGTTCTTGCTCTTTGATGGGACATGGCCTATTTAGTTATTGGAGCACAGTGTACATTATTCAATAAGTTATACTTCTTACTAACCAAGCGTGAGGGTCCTACTAGGAATATTATCCTGTGTGGGATTACGGACCGAGCAAAAACAAAAACACCGTACAACTGCGGGCCATAATCCCCTAGCACGACTCTAGAAAGTGGCGTTAATGAATTGTTTACCATGGGGCAAAACTCGTTTAATTTGATTTTTTCCGGCTTTCGTAACCAAAATACACGGCTTATGACCGTCACCGTCAGGAAACGGTTCGTACTGTGAACGGTAAAGTACAGACCAAGTTAGAACCAAATTAGAACGCAGAGATTTACCTCAAGATTACCTGAGGTAAATGAAACAAAATAAAATAAAATCATGATCAAAAGCAAAATAAGACACAACTGACAGGGTCATCTTATCATATTCTGATCATATCATTTATTTTTTGTTTGTTTGT